ATCACCGGAGGACGGTGGCCGGAGGTCGGAGAATGGTGGCCGGAGAGAGAAGAGAAGAGAGAGGAGAATTTTAAAATACCAAAAATATCTTTGCATTAAGATTTTAATTTAAAATTACCAAATTTATAAATTTCTTAATTTATCTATTGATTTGTGGTTAATATTGGTTCTCACAGTTACCACAAACAACTCAGTTTTTCCTTGAATAGGCCCCTATATATATATATAACAAAGTAGTTGTTAGCTGATAAATTAGATAATTAACTAATCGTGTTAGCAAACACTAACGAATAAGGGGCTGTTTGGATGCCTCTTAATGATGACATTAAGAGGAGACCTCTTAATCGGTCAGAGGAGAAACGTGTTTGGCAAAAAAAAAAGCCCTCTTAATGGTTACACAAGCCTCTTAACCATTTTGAGGGTAGGAGTTCACTAAACGATTCAGAGTACCATTTCTTCCCTCTTTACCCTTCCACACCCTAGCCGCTCCCATCGTCTCCCCAACTCGGTTATCGCCTCCATCTTCTCCGGTCGGTCGCCTCCATCTTCTCCGGTGAGTCGCCTCCATCTTCTCCGGTCGGTCGCGCCTTCCTCAGCAAGCTCGTTCGTCGGCCGCGCCTTCCTCAGCAAGCTCGGTCGTCGGCCGCGCCTTCCTCAGCAAGCTCGGTCGCGATTTCCTCCTTCGTCGGTCTCGTTCTATCAGGTTTCTCTCGCTTCTACTAGATTTTCTGTTTAAAGATTGCTATCACTTGTTATTTTCTGTTTAAATATTGCTATCACTTGCTATTCTACTAGATCTTCTACTAGATTTTATGTTTAAAACTTTGCTATTTAGATGGGGTTTTTTGAAGATTGCTATCACTTGCTATTTAGATCTTGCTATTTAGATGAGGTTTTCTTTGAAGATTGTTATCACTTGTTGTTTAGATCTTGCTATTTAGATGGGGTTTTCTTTGAAGATTGCTATTGCCCTTTCGATTTTCTGTTTACAATGTGTGGGGTAAACAAACCACTGCTTTAGAAGTTTTCCGTTTACAATGTGTGGGGTAAACAAGCCACTAATATGAAATCTTGTTTCGAACTAATAATGTTACGTTTGTTTGGATTAATATGAAATATGTAGTTATTTTTGTAAAATTATTGTTTTATTCAGATATCAGCCAAACAGCTTTATTTCATTCAGTACTAAATCATTCAGAGGGTTAAAATGGTAATTTCACTGTCATTCAGAGAACAGTTACCAAACATCATTATTTCATTCAACACTTAACCATTCTGACCCTCTTAACCATTCTAACCTCTTAACTATTCTTCCCTAAATCATTCAGTAACTCCCAAACAGCCCCTAAGCTGGTATATATAGTGGTATGCATAAATTATACTATATGTAAAAAATCATGACCTTCGTGACAATATCATCTAGAACCTCCTTTATCGGCGTCATATCTAGATCGCCAACGCCTCTCTATTGTCAACGCCATCATCATCCAGAAAATTCTTTTCTCCATGTGGGTTCTCCCTGCGTAATCGATACCTTTGTCCCTGTGGTTTGTCCTCGCGTAATCGACCATCATTTCCGGCATAATCGGCCACCAATATCTCCTATTCCACCCCTCTGTCTCCAGCATCACCGTCGTCAACCTTGTTGGCGC